TCATGCTTAATGTGGTTTCTTTTCTTGCAAATAATTCAACACTCTTTCTCCTTTTCATTACCTAGAGGAGGAAGTGAGACAGACAGACTCTCACTGCTAGCTTTTAAGGCTCAAATTTCAGAAAAACCCACCAACAAACTGAGCTCATGGAATGAATCCTTACACTTCTGCCTGTGGTCAGGAGTTACATGCGGAAAACAGCACCAAAGAGTTGAAGAGCTTGACCTGAGCTCCAGCCAACTGGTGGGCAGCCTAAGTCCCCACATCGGAAACTTGAGTTTTCTAAGGCTACTAAGCCTGAAAAACAACAGTTTCAGCAATACCATCCCCCAAGAAGTAGGTCGTTTGGATCGGCTACAGACTTTGATCCTTGCGAACAACTCTTTCCATGGTGAAATCCCTCATAACATTTCGAGTTGCCGGAATCTCCAAAACCTTAATTTAGAGGGAAACAATCTTACTGGCAACATTCCTGCAGGAGTTGGATTGTTATCAAAGCTACAGGTATTTATTTTTAGAAAAAACAATCTACATGGCCAGATACCCTTTTCTTTTGGGAATCTTTCATCTATTGTTAAAATTGATGGAACATTGAATCATTTGCAAGCGGCTATTCCCAATAGTATTGGGAGGCTGAAAACTTTAAACTTCTTTGCCTTTGGCTCAAATAATCTAAGCGGTACAGTCCCGCCCTCCCTATACAATATATCTTCTCTCATCCATTTCTCTCTGCCTTTTAACCAATTCCATGGCACACTTCCTCCAAACATAGGACTAACTCTCCCGAATCTCGAATTTCTTGGCATTCACAGCAATCGAATAAGTGGACCAATTCCAGCAACACTCTTAAATGCCTCAAAAATCACTCAGATTTATCTTTCATCCAATGAATTCTCCGGAAAAGTGCCCACTTTAGCAAGCATGCCCAACCTAAGGGTGCTTTCAATGGAAAAAAATGATCTTGGGAATGACGAGGATAATGATTTGTCCTTTCTCTACACCCTCTCAAACAGCAGCAAGTTGGAAGCTTTGGCCATAAATGAAAACAATTTTGGAGGGGTGCTACCTGATATAATTAGCAACTTCTCAACAAAGCTCAAGGAGATGACATTCGGAACGAATCGTATACGTGGAAGCATTCCAGACGGCATTGGAAATCTCATAAGCTTGGATGCATTGGGTTTAGAGGCAAATCAGTTGACCGGCAGCATACCAAATTCTATTGGTAAATTACAAAATTTAGGTGATTTGTTTCTTAATGAAAACAAATTATCAGGGAGCATCCCTTCTTCTATAGGGAACATCACCTCATTGATGCAAATAGATTTTGATCAAAATAGTTTACAGGGAAGCATTCCGCCAAGTCTTGGAAACTGCCGGAACCTGTTGGTCTTGGCTCTCTCCCAAAACAATCTGAGTGGTCCCATACCAAAAGAGGTCCTGAGCATCTCATCCTTGTCGATCTATTTTGTCCTCTCGGGAAATCAGCTGACTGGTTCCCTTCCCTTTGAAGTGGGTAAGTTAGTGAATCTGGGATACCTGGACTTCTCCAAAAACAGGTTATCAGGGGAAATTCCCGCAAGTCTAGGCAGTTGTGAGAGTTTGGAACATTTGAATTTGGGTGGCAACTTCTTCGAAGGCCCCATTTCGGAGTCTTTGAGTCACTTGAGAGCACTTCAAGATCTTAATCTCTCTTACAACAACTTGACTGGCCAAATTCCCAAGTTTTTGGGGGACTTTATTTTGTTGGAGAGTTTGGATCTGTCATTTAATGACCTTGAAGGTGAGGTGCCTGTGCATGGTGTCTTTCAGAATGCAAGTGCTGTTTCAATTTCAGGGAACAAGAATCTTTGCGGAGGAGTACTTCCGTTCAATCTACCGACATGCACCTCCAAGTCAACAAAGCCGAAATCTACTACCAGGCTGATATTAATAGTCACAATTTCTTGCTGCTTTACAGGATTAATCTTGACGACCTCTTTTTGGTTTTTGTGTTGCTCGAAGGAGACAAAAAGATTAGCCCACTTCAGAGTTCTCATGCGAGGTGCCATTCCAAAGGTTAGCCTATGAAGACCTCCGTCAAGAAACGAATTGGTGCCGGTAGTCTTAGATCAGTGTATAAAGGAGTTCTCACATGAGATGGAGTGATTGTTGACGCGAAAGTATTCAACTTACTAAGTAAACGACCTTCTAAAAGCTTTATGACAGTATGTGCAACCTTGTCAAACATCAGAAAAGAATTGCCTTATTTTAACAAGTCCACGTGCCTGCTTTGTTCAAGTACTTTTATATGTGTAATGGAAGTGAGAATTTCTCGTATAAATAATTAGTGAGTTGATGTTGACTTGGAAAATGAATGATGATAGGCACACTTTATGAACACGGATGTCATGACAATCTTGGACAGACTATTTGCCAAGCTTATTCATGATTTTTCACATACTGCTGCTACCAACCCCACCTCACAAATTACAATGAAATCCTAACCTTTATGGTATGTGACGTAGTGTATTAGTACCACTAAATAAATAACATAGGATGGGGATAGATAAACATCCATATACGATAAATTTTAAAATATTAAAAAACTAACTAAACATATTTGTTGGATGAGTTTACTATTTTGAAAAAATAGATAGATATAAAAAAATAAAATCATATTTGCATTCACCGAATATAATAGGAACATTTTTTCATAGTTGTGGTTCTTTTATGTCGTACTCAACTCGGAAGATTTTGTAACAAAAGAAGATGAACAATGATTAGGACGCGTTCGGCAAGGCGGTCAATCTCCCAATCATATAAAAGAACCAAATTAACTTTACAATATAAACTACTACTAATCATAATAGTGTTTTTGATTTTTGATTTTATAAATTTATTAAATTAAACTAAATTAAAAGGGATGAAATGGGTTTGAAAACTCTTGATGTAGAATCATTATCTCCTTAAACTGGTTAGGATGTAAGATTGTATGGATGATAACTTAAATAAAAGACAATTCGAAGTAAATATTGAACTTACTACTCTAATATGTAATCAAAACAAGAAAATTAAACTAGGAATTAAAGAGTTAGATAATTGAAAAATTAAGAATAGCATGCTACAACATAAATAAAAACCCTTCAATTATGAACTTGAAGGTTTTTGTAACACAATACTCGGAATCAATTAACTTATAGTAAAAGGTAACCGAGAATATTCATAAGTGAGCACCCCAAACATGAGAAAACTTGAAGGAATTAGGGATGATGATTGTAGCAAGCATGAACAAAGGATTAAGAACTAACGATCAGCCTATAAATTATTGCTTACTCGAATTACTATCTACTAATTACTATATATAAGTTATCTCCTATAAATTATTGTCTACAAGCTACTCGCTTAATAAGTTTCAAGTTTAAAACTTGTGAAAGTGCTCCTTGAGTTGTTTACTATAGAGTTAGATAATTGAATTGAGTTTCATCCAAAAGACTAAAGTTTTATGGTGGATGACCTTTTCACAAATTTACATATTATTTATCTTTCATTTAACTATTTAATGTATATGCTCTAACACTCCCCTCTACTAGCGAGTCCATTATTTTGGGACTTGTCAAATAACATAGGCTCCAAGATCTTTGTTGGTTCATTGGGCCTTGAGGCTATGATACCATATAGAATTAAATAATTAAGATTAAGTTTCATCCATAAGTCTTATAGTGAATTGCCCCTTCACAACGTTATCTATTATTTATCTTTAGTTTAACTATTCAATATGAGATATATGTTCTAACATTTACGAGTTAGCAAGAGTTGCTTATGTGTCATATTATTATGTACTTTTTATGTTACTACAATTGGTATTTATAGGTTTCTTACTCCTCCATAATCTCTAGTAATGGATAACTCTCTTCCTTTAAATTGTAGTGTTGCTTATAGCTGGTATTTATAGCCTTCTTACTCTTTTATAATCTTTGGTAATGGACAACTCTATTCCCTTAAATTATAATGCTTCATGTTCTTCTTTTTTCGAGCTACAATGCACTATATTCTTTTCCTTACTCTATTCACTACCATATATAAAGTTTTATACGAGTGGTTGAAAATTACTACTAAACAATTGAAAACTGTTACATTACTCTTAATGTAACGATTTACTAGCCGTTACATTCGATCGGCACTACTATAGATTAATGTAGCTCGTTTTTATATACAATAGTAATGCAAAAATTTTCGTTGCATAATATCATCTAATTATAGTGGTTACTTTATTACTTTAAGTAGTGATTTTATAAATGATATAACATCGATTTAAGTCAAAACGTATGCAACGAGTTCTCAACATATATGTAATGGATTTTGAGTTATTTTATGCATCAGCTTTTATCAAATAATGCAACGATTTATCTAATATATTATGTAATGATTTATAAATCATCAATAGTGATTTTTCTATTGTATTAGGTAACAATTTGTTTGTTTTAATGCAATTATTTTTGTGTATCTATTGCAACGAGTTTTATAAAAGAATAGTAACAATTTGTAAAATTTGAATGCAACGATTTATCATGACAATACAACATTTATAAAATATTGAATACAATAATTTGCACTATTATTACATTCAATTCTGTCCAATTGTAATAGATTTTAGTCAATTATAATGATTATCATGGTATTTGCAAAATATTTTGTAAGATATATAGTTAATCCTAAAATGATTATGGAGCATGAAGGTATGTTTTTCGTAAGAAATTGACCAACACCATAACTTCTTGGAGGTACCATACGGTGAAAAGGCCCTAGGATAATTGAATCAACTATTTCACCGCTTATAATGGAATAAATTACAATGATTACTCATTCTCTCCTTAATGATGATCATTGATCCTAACACAACTCGTTGTTGATGGTTTCTAAGGAGTCATTCTCTAATCTAGGATAATCAAACAACTCGCCTAAGTTGCATATCCGTCTCACTTTTCTAAGTAGTGTAAGATGAATTACCCTTCATCCTATTATTTTTTCTCCTTATCTTTGATAGTATACCCCTTCTTCTTGGATTTGTTGCTAGTGTCGGTGGGTGAGCGATCGCCACAAACAGGACAAACCATTCCATATGCATTAGAGAATGTCTTGGGTATTCCACATTGTAAGTACATCCTATAATCGGGTAAAAGATTGTAATAAAAAAAAAAAACTCAATCAGGAGTAAGTAAATAAAGATGCTTTAAAAGAATCATCACAAGGCCATAGGCAATCAAACAACAAGAATAAAGCGTATGGAATACACTTAAGCTCGGTTCTATAGAGGCTTTTGGATTTTGTTTATTCTATTGCTTTAACCAAAGTTTAGAATCCCTTCCTCCTTAGCCAAATAGCAATCCAAGATCCACTAGTCCTACTATCTATAACCGGAACTCTAAACTTCCACCTTAGAAAGATGAATATTAAATGTGATACACAAAGACATGCTACAGATTTAGTCCAAACAAAATGTGAAGGGTTCCAACTAGACAAAGAAAAGAGTTAGTTGACTACCTTATTAGGATAAAATACGAGGAGGGAGAAAAGAGTTTGTGACTCGAAGGTTAGGTTATGTTTAAGTTGCGGCACATAATAGACCAAATCACAATTAACCAAAGCAAACTATTTCACTTTCGAGATAATAGTTAATTGCCACCAAAAGAAATCCCTATTCATCAAACCTATCTAAACTATCGACATATATCCTCGGCTTGAGGTGGTGCAACGGACGTGAATAAACTATAAAACCATGTAGCTTAATACATGGTGTAAAATATTAGAAGACATACCTCGGTAGACTCGTAACATCTTCTACGCCAAGATTGGTAGTAGTTGGCATATGTTTTCCTTCCTCTTATACAATGCTTGGAACTCGAAGGTGGGATAAGCATCGATATTACTCCTCACTCGCTCCTAGATTCCAATAGGTGGAGGTTTGGCCTCCACTATAGCCCCTACATTGTGCACAACACATATAAGAAAATTATATCTTCCTTATAGAACAAGATTAACTCTAATCAAATAAATTGTTAATCAAAATAAACAATCATCAAGTTATTGGTAATTGGTAAAAGCAAGAAATCAAGTATATCATAGATTAAGCGAGTGCATATAATAGCTTCACAATGGTCAAAGTTTCACACATATTATTGTCAACTACATTAGATTTAACATAAGTTTGTCATTCTTCCGAAGCTTTAAATCTCTCCTATTATGGATGACATACTTAATCACAATAGCTTTAACTTCTTTTTGTTTTAATTTAAAAATCATGCAAAGCTAAAAATGAGGAAACTCGAGTTGTTGGGTCATACTTAACCAATCTGGTTCTCTTCCTTAGGTTCTTCATCACTATTAGATATGTATTCCTCTTTTTCTTCTTCATTGTAATACTCCTCATTCAATTCAACTTTTATTTTGCCAATTCTATTCTTAATTTTCTTCTCTCCTCATAATTATTCTCTCTATTTTCACCCAACTATCCCCCGTAGTTCCCTCCACATTTCCCTCTAAATTTCCCCTACATTTCCCCTCTATATTTCCCCCTAAATTTTCCTCTATAGTTGCATTAACTTTACTCGAGATTGTTTTTATCCTTTTAACATTTTCTCTAACTTTTTTTTTATTCCTCATCATCGGATACCCACTCTACATCTACCCAATATTCAACATCTTAACATATGGCTCCTTATTTGGCTCTGCAATCTGTCTCTTTATTAACATTCTAACTAACTTCACTTGACTAGGCATTACTACCCTCGTCGGTATTTGCAACCAAGCCTACTTGTATGGACTTTGCTACCTTCACCTTGTTCCATGACAACGGAACCACGACCTATATGGATAGAACTACTCACAACACTAGACACATTTATTTCTTCAATTACACCATCATATTTCTACTCACAATTAGGATTGCCGGCCCATGTTCATTGCTTCCGGGCGTACTACATATAGCTTTTGAGTTATCACAATCAAGCAAGGGGTTTATTAACTCACTTTTATCAATATATAAGTCAACAATAATTTCATCACATAACATTTTTATCACATGTAAACAACTAATATCATCCTTCACTTCCTTAAGACTCTATTCAAAAGTTAATTTAGGATCAATATCTTTATAAAACACTATGTTACACTCCTCATAACCATATTCTTCAACCATATCTAACAATCCTTTAAACTCGTATTAAGTCGGGATCTATATTTTTTTCTCTCAATAACCTCCCCTGCACTAATAGACAAACTAAGCTTTTTTTATAATTCAACCCCAAAACAAAGCTTTAATTTAGACATTTCACTCGATACTATTATTAAGGAGACATAAAGGAAAACAAACAAAAAATAAAGCAAAAATTTGAAAGTATCAAGATAGATAAAAAAATAAACAAATATACAAAAGTCATTCAATTCAATAAATAACATTATTGACAAAACCCATAATTGACAAAACCAAGGTAAGACAACATTTTGCATATGTCGTTCAATTCAAAACCTAAAACCCATAACCGACAAAACCAAGATAAGGCAATGCTTCTCATAAGCCATTAAATTCAAAACCTAACATCCATAACCGACAAAACCAAGATAAGACAATACTTTCTATAAGCCATTCAATTCAAAAACAAAACCCAAACCCATTCAATAAACAAATCCTCGATAAGGAATACAAACCCATTTAATAATATTCATGAAAATCCACTCAAAATGCAATAGTTATTTTTAGCATCATATCATTATTACCTATCATCATTCATTTTACTTGTGTGTTAATTTTAATTTCCTGCACTACGCAAATGGACAAGATGGCATATTCATATAATATATATACATATAAGTCATCATTCATCTTCCAAGTCAAGATCAACTCAACAATTAGTTGAACGAGAAAGGAGTTATAAATCCACAATCACAAACTAGGCCTATCTCCCATTATCAATACTTGATTGCATCCAAGTGAGTTTCCAAATCGCGATTAGTCCCGTTGAATATTTTAACAAGTGTTTTGTTCTACTGGAAGAAATCACAGCTAGCAGATATTGCAGAAAGTAAAAACATTGCTGCAATAACTTCATGTAATTGGTTACTTTATTTATTTATTGCAATTCTCAAAGCACTAGAGAAGTGCAGTAGCGTCATGTGATGATAAAGTGATGTTTTTCAAATAAGCTTAGTCTTTTGATAATGATACATGTTTACTGATTTAGATATTAAATTAATGCTTTATTTGCAAAGATTATTATATAATGAAATTGATTTTGATTTATTTGTATTATGACATGATTTCACTAGTTTAAAAAAACTTTAAAAGTTCTACCGAGCCACCAAACTAGTAATAGCTTCTTCTTTCTTTTTTTTTTTTTTTTTTTTTTTCTGAAGTACATAATACCATTTTTTATTTCTTGCCTCACATAGCATGTTTCACGTTATATGTTCTGTGTATATATATACCCCTCCTTCGTTATCGTTTCCAAACCACCTAGCTTAACCTCTCCATCCTTACTACCACCTAGCATCTTGCTCTCTACACATACCAAAACATTTTATTTCCTAAAATTCCCAGTTCTTTTTTCATGTCTAAAATAAATTGTAATCGATACTTGACAATAATACTCTTTCTTACCATCATTTTTCTATCATGTTCCAACCGAATAATGGCAGCGAGGCCATTACAGAGTGATGATGATCAACTTGGGGGTACAAATACAAAGCCCCTCCACCAGCATAATGATGAGGGATGCGTATATGTACGTGGTAGGTGCTGGGGATTCGACGGACCTCCATGATATGACGGAGGAGGTGGGGTTTGTTTTCCCTCATACTTGCCGACGACTAGCTTGAAAGGCACAGCTAATATCCCTCGTGTGTCACTTTTTTATCCATGCTTGAGAGATGATAATTATTTATGTGTACTTTGCTGGTTTACTTATTTTCATCATGTTCTTGTCTTGGTGGCGTAATCCAGGTTTTCCTATCCCTTTAGTGAACTCATTTTGTTTTTATTTTTCCTTTCCTTTTTTAATGGAAAGACTTATAGATCTTGTGGGTGTTACTATTCAATTTAATATGAATTTAAGAATCAATTGGTGCAGTTAAAACTAATTGGTGAAATCTTGGCGTATGGATTAGTTTGGCTTCTAAATAATATTTTAAAGCTGATTTTTTTAATTATATATATATTGCTTTGGGGAAAATTTTCGTCCATGAAAGGAGATATAGTATTTTGATCCCTACAAGTCTTCAATGGAGACTAAAAGTCGTCGCCAAAAACCAAGCAACTGCAAACTCATGGTTAAAAAACGGAAGCTAATGAGATAGAGTAGACGAATTTCATCCTCAGGAAAAAAAAAAAATCTATGAAGATGAAAATCATCAATAAAAGGTGATCTAAAATCAAGTTTCAAATAGAAGAATTAGTGTTCTAGGAACAAAATTTTGTTAAGAAATGATTCAAGCAAAAGAATAAAGTAAAATAAACAAGAATAATCACATAACGCAAAGATTTTATGTGATTTCATAATTGTGCCTATTTCATGTTAGAAAATAATATAAATCATATCTTGGAGCTTTACCTAATAGTTTAAGCTTTTAAGTAAGATAGTCCTTTGACATGATATCATAATCTTGATGATCAAATGGTCGCGAGTTCAAATCCTATCACCCCCACTTTCTCCTCTAATTAATTAAACACAAGGTAGTGTGGGCTCGTGTAAGTTTTATTCCCTTTTTCACTTGAAGAGGTATTTTAGAAAATAATATAGCAATAGAATTCCTTATTAGGTTTGATCAAGTGGCAACTATTAATATAAGTGATGTTACCTCTATTTATAGTGTGAATAACTACGATCATAAGGAAACAAAAAGTATAACGAGCCTATATATCGACCCAATATTTTATGGACTATTTAGGAACTCCGCTCCAAAGCCCTCATCCGCTGATTGGCTAGTGAGACCACCATACTAGATCTATATATCGCCTTATACTAAAAGCTTCCATCTACATCGAGTCTCCATAATACATGATATGTTTCTTAAAATTTAAGTGTAATTTTATCAAATCAAATGTTTCGATTGAGAGTTTGTGTTGTGTGTATATATATATATATACACATACTAGTTTTTTTAGCATGTTTCGTAATGAGATTATTCAAGTATATATTTAATTTTTTTTACTAAATTTTGATGAATTGATTTAATAATTAATAGTTAAAAATACAAAAGCACATATACATTTATTATAAGAACTACTAAAAATCTTTTGTAAAAATTATATATATTTTTCTTATAAGTATAGTTAAAACATAAAACAATATTCTTCATATCTTATTATTATAAGAAAGTTTCTTATTTTTCAAAAAGAAAAAGAAAAAAGGCTTGATTTTTTCTTACTATGCATGTAATTTAATTGTTTGAATTAAAAAAACTATCTTTTCTTTTTTTATTTAAGCGTGAAATTACTTTTATTATATGGTGAGAGATAAATATAATCAAATATAAAAGTAAAAATATTATAAACCATATTCTAATATTTATTTTATTTTATTTTTATTGCTTCTATTTAGTAATGTCTATAATCGAAAACTCTTGAAAAGAAAAAACTCCCAAAAAATAGTCTAATAAAAAATTGGATTTTAGATACTAATATTTACAATTTAATATGATAAAATTAAAATATTTTTTACTTCTAAATGCTCTATTATATTACAATATCTGTGAATTGTTTTTGTCTAAATGAGTTTTTTTTTGTAAAATAATATATATGTAACTCAAATTCATAAGGTGCAAGGTGTGAAACAAAATTTTTGTCATGACTCCATTAATTTTTAACATGATTATATATGTGAGACAAATATTAAAGTTATAAGCAAAAATAAAAATTTTAGGCGACCCTTTTTACGGAGTTTTTTAATATTAGTAGAGTTTGTCAAAATGTTTAAACTGCTTAGTCTAAAGGAATAAAAAACAACCTAAAGCAATACCAAGTCTTCTATGATATATATATGGTGTAATTTTAATACTTTGCTGAATTTTAATTAGATGTGAGGTTAATAAAAAATAAAGGCATGAATATGAATTTTATGAATTATTTCAGTCAAACTCTTTCAATAATATTTTCTATTTTAAATATGAATAAAAAATATTAATTCCCCCACTTGTAATATTTCCATTGTTTATTCAACTCAACTCGGCTATAACTGAGAAAATGCCTTGAGTGGACTTCAGAGTATCCCAGCTCTACTCTTTGTTTGATTCGATAATAAATCTATTTCAAATTTTTTTTTTTCCGTAATATATATATATATATATATATATATATATATATATATATATATATATATATGTATCATTTTTTACATTTTTATTTTAAATCATACGTTATTGATTTATTTTATTTGGTCATTTTTTGAGTATTAATTTAGACCATCTGATTTATATCGATAATAATAATAAAAAAAAAAAAATTGCAATATCATGGATTCCCATTAGGATCTTCAATTTTTTAGAACATAAGTGGTGGTTTGTTGTCATGTTCATCATGTGACATGCGTCCATTTTGGTTGAAAAAACATATGGAAAGTGAAAATCTATATTTTAAAATTTTCAGTAATGAACACAAATGATAAAGTATATAAGAATTAAAAACCCACTAATAATGACCCACCAAGACAGTATGCATAGAAAATTTGAGTCTGGTTTTTACATTTTAATTGTCTACAAGTAATTTCATGGGTAAAGTCAATAAAGTGATTATTCCACCTTAGCTGTAACCAACGAAGTCAAGAAAAGAGGTAAAAGAAAATTTCATTTTAATGGAGATAGTTGTACCGTTCAACTTTCACATGTGTTGTTCTTTTTCTTCTTCTTCTTTTTCTTTTTTTTTTTTTTTTTTCTTTTTTAGAATTCTAATCTATTAATTCATTTTAGTTGTGTGTTAATTTCAATTTCATAAAGTATCCAAATGGACAAGATAGTAAAAAAAAAAAAACCATGCTGGTAAAATATATCTATCACCCTTGATTGTCTAAGTTGATCAACTCAATAATTAATTTAACGAAAAAGGAGTTAAGAATCCACAATGTCAAACTAACCCTATCTTCCATTAATTTCTCTTCTTTATTTATTTCCCACTTACTTTACCTCTACTAGATTAGTCCAACCCGTATACTTTAAAATGAGAGTGCTTCTTTCTCACTTCTATTACACCTATAAAGACACTTGAACAAACAAGCACCTAGAAATAAAAAAATGTAGCAATTTTTTTTATTGATATCAATTTGTACAAACATTCAGATGTGTACAACTGCACTGTTGACCATGAGAAGATACTTTGATTTTGTCAAAAAATAATCTCAATCCAAAACTTACTTTAACTCTGTTAGATGAGATTCTAAGATATAATCTATATTATATTTTAATATATTTTTTCAAATGAAAATTTTTTGGACTTAAAACTTACAAAGACCCACATTATCTTATGGGTAGACTTGAAACTTACATTGAACCACACTATCTTGTACTTAATTAGAATAAAAAATGAGAGTGATAAAATTCGAATTCGTGATTACTTGATTATCAAAACTTTAATATTATATTAAAAAACCATCTCAACTAAAAAATATAAGCTACTTGGATGAGACCTTAATATATAATTTATATTATTTTCTAAATAGATTTGTTGCTCTATTCACCTCGCTTACCTATATTACATCACAAATTATGGACTTTATAGTCATGAGTCATTTTTCAGCCAATCATTTTAATCCAAAAATTTGAGTATCTCAAATAGTTTTATACTAACTCTCTAATATGATTCTAGTCTCTAATAAATTCTAGAGCTTAAACTAAAGTACATCCAAACTTTTTGGAGAATGATATTGGAATAACTAGAGGTCAAACAATTAAATTGAGATTTTTTTCTTTTTTTAAAAAAAGAAAAATTCGAACTCAAGACTTTTTAAAAACAAAGGATAATAATATTAATTGAAGTATAAATCATTAACATTAACCACCACCATTAACATCAAAATCATTCTCGTCGACACTACCATTATATATATCTTCACTTGTATGGTGATCGCTATTGCAATCACCATTACCATCATTGTAACCAACATCTATGTCACACCACTATGGCTAGCACTAATGTTATCATAGTAGCACATTGATCACCATCACCGTTACTACTATAAATATTGACATATGAGTTTATATTTAAATTTAGATTATAAGAGTCAAATCTCTATTGAACTTCAATCTATTTGAAAATCAATCTCTTAAACTTTATTTTATTTTATTTTATTTTGAGATTTAGTTCATCATTTAGATATTAAAAATATAACTCATTGGTAGTGGTGTCTTGTTTATAGTATGCAAGATTGTCAAGAGACCCATGTTCATAGAAAACACCTATCATCATTCATTTCCAAGTCAAGATCAACTCACTAATTAATTACACGAGGAAGAAGCAATAAATTGTGCGATGACAATTTAGCCTTCTCACTTTTTTTTTTTTTTA